ATTGACAGGTTTATTGCTCTTCCGCATATTGAATTGAATCAGCGGATGTAAATGATAATTATTTGGGAATTTTAAACAGGATGGCTGCATAAGTTGCACGAGTCATATTCCATAAAGAGTTCAGTTGAATGCTAATTATAGTGGATGAGCAGTTTGAAGAGCAATGAATCGAAGATATGTGTGAATAGTTGTAATAGTTGAGGGTTGATTTCGAATGTGATGTAAACTTGAAATAGTAGCGTTGTTTTCCATTAGTGGTTATGGGAAAGTAAAATGATCTGGCAAATTGAGAAAGCATTAGTTTATCCAAGAGAATAGTTAACGACCAAAATGAATCATACAGTTTGAAATGCTCCTTTTACAGTCTATGTTTCACACTTCTTTATAGATTTTGTAGAATGAATGCACTGAAGTACAATCTACCACCTAGCCACAATTTAGTTGAATTTAGTCAATCAATCCACATTATATTTTATTATTCATGTGTTCAAAGCAGACTATCAAATAAAAACTGCATTTTTTTTATTCTGTTGCAGATAATTTCAGTAACGAATCGATTGCTGATTGTATGTGAACATGACATAAAAAAATTAAAACTTTTGAATTTAGATGTTCTATGTCGTAGTATTAAAGCTGAAGCATTTTATGGCTCTAGATTATTGACAGGTTTGGTAACGCATACTGAAAATGTGAAATTTTTAATATATAAAACAGGTTTAAATAACTTTTAAATATTTGTGAGATAAAAAATGAAGTCAGCTTATACTCTGAACAATTAATTAGCCCTAAACGTTTTGCATATACGAAAGTAAGATTATCCAGAATTATTCCGCCACTTACGTTGAATGATGAAGTCCAATGGGAACCTACATAAAAACCAAGAGAAAACCATATTTGTAGCACAACCGCTCATTATTATCATTATTATTTAAAATTTTGTGAATGAATAATCTAAAATTATGAGTGAGAGGAGCTGCGAAGGTTGATTGAATCAACCTGACCACTTTCCTTCCTGTGTTTGAATGTGAAGCAACCTTTCCGAGTTCATTTTTCGTTTATAACTCACTAACGGTACACATAAATTCGGATACGTTTTAATGAATAAATGGATTATGCACAAGAACTTTTCCATTTTCTCATGCCAGCAAATAAGAGTTGTTTACTTTGTTCAGTTTTAAAATAATACTTTAGTTATCATGTATACATAATTTCAATAAAAAATAACAATTTCTGCAACTCCTAATAAACATCAATATATATTTAGCGTTTGGTAAATAGAAGTAATCAGTTATTTCTTTTATACAATTTTTATAGAAATTATAAGAACTATAAAAAACGATGAAAGAAAATATGGTACTGATTAGTTTATATTGTATATTATTTCTATGTTCTACATAATTTACATAACATTTACATCAGAAACGTTTTGGCTTGTGTAGCTATAACTTTAAGTAGTTAAACGTCTCATCACCTATTTGACGAACACGTAACATAAAGAGGTCTTTCTGAAAGAGCTTGGTTTGAGACTACCTACTTGTAGTTCTGTTCGGCGTTATTTCACGCGATGCAGTGAAACGTATTTGGAAAACCTCACGAAATTGATAGATGTGCTACACATTCAGTGGAGCACTGTTTACATTTTTGTAATATATTAGGTGTAGATGAGGCTCATGAAATAAAAATCTCTATTTCGGAATTTTGAGTCCAGCGCTTACTAGCGCTTTTTGACGAATAATATCTGCTCATCTATTGTGGTAGTATGCTTGTTCTCCGTGGTGTATGTGTTGTCAAACGTTCCGGAACATGTACGTTCAGGACTACACTGCTAGATAGACGATACTTGTCTCCATGTAGGATAAGCAAATTTCTGTCGATTGCACAGTGATGAATGGGGTTGAAGGCCAGTTGTTTATGATGACTGCCGTTGAGGATAAAGATTACGAGTCTTTACAATTGTGGAAATCGGTAAGCGGATGGATTGGATAGATCAAGATGTTTTGTTACGGCAAGAGAGCTCATACATATCTGAAGTCCTATGAAACTTTCTGTTGTTTGAAACGACAAAGCTGCATGTCCATTCACAGGCATATAACTTGAATGATAATTATTCGATGGATATACTAACTTCAGATTCTTCATTCACTTTCAAATATATTGAATATTATATCCATATATGAACATTTATTCTTAGGGCTAACTTTACCAGAAGTAACAAAATTAGTTGATTGTTACAATGAACAAAAATTTATTTATGATCGTAAGCTTATTTAATAAATTTTTATGTGTTTTACACGCAGAGATTATTAATAGCGTTTTAGTAGTCGGTTTATTTAATACTAAGATTTTCAATTGACATTACATAATGTATGCATTTGAAATCTTGTATCTTCATAGTTTGATTATTTAATCATAGATGCCATCTAGTAAATTATTCTTCATACAATTTGCTAGTTGGATGAACTGTGAAATATAATTTTAACTTTCTCGTCCGTATAAGCATTCTGTCTGATCATCGGCTTCTTTGCATATGTGATTTCCATTGCGGCATCATTTAACGTCTAAGATTCTCCAACCGACAATATTCAAGGTTCTCTTTACCAATTATTCCAAACTGACGTTCATTATTTTCAAATCTATCTCTGATTCTCACTTCATAGTATGTTGATGAGATTCGTGACTACTGACTATCCTGAAACTTTTACTCTAATCCAGATTCCCCTCTTCAGAGCTTAGGCCATCTTTCTGGTTACTACCAGGTATCTTAAGTTTCCAATATGTGTAAGTCTAATTTTCAACCAACTTCTATTTTTCACTACATCATAGAAATAATTTCTAAATACAAGGCAGATTCTTGCATTCAACATACCAAATACACTCAGAATGGTAAGTTTAGGTGTAAAATGTCCAAAATGACCATTTGAATCAATTTTATTTATGAAACAATTATTATTTTAGGTTATTATATAAGTTTTTTGCATCATTTCACCTAACGAGGTATAAATGCAGAACAGATGTGCGGATGTGAACTCTCGCTATAAACTAATATAATTGTAGGTCAATGAATAGAAAAAACGAAGGCAACATCATTTAAAATTTTAAAGTCATGACATCAGTTTTATTGATCCACTCAGTATTACTGTGCAAATTAGTTTTCCATAATGTGTTTGAACAAAAGATAATTTGTTCTAAATGTATAATGTAAAAAGTATTCTACATTATTGAAAGAAATCACAAACTACATATTTTACAGATACTGAACAATTACGTAAAATGATCAGGAAAAAGTATAGTTTATTTCGTAACTACCACTACAAATTATGTAAGTTTGAATGATATTTTGTACAATTGTAATTCCATTGTATTCTTATTATGTAAAGCATTTTTAAAAACTGTTATGTTGGTAATAAAAGAGTCAATCAAGCAAGATTTAGAGACTGAATTTATAACCTGAACAACGGTACAGCACCATAGAGACCTGTAGAGAAGTTCCATAAACAAAACTCACGAGGTTGATAGACTGGGATATCGCGAATCGCACATAGGACACTTCGTGATCTCTTGAAACGCCAAAAAATATTCACAAGCAAATAGGGATAACTCATTTGTGCTTGCAGGTTTAGTTCTTCAGTAATAGCAACAACGCTTATTGATCATTGTTGTTCTATGTATGTGCATAATGTGCATATTATGTGTAACTGACAATTCAGTCACAAGAATTGTTGGCGGAAATTCACTGTGGATAGAATAAGATTACCAATTTAAATGAATCAAAGGCATAATAAGAGAAGAAGTGAGTGGGTGGCTATTGTCAGATGTGAGCGCACAAGGCATTCGCCTTTGAAGCGTAAGAAACTGAATTGAAGTTTTGGAAAACTTCAAACACATCCAACCAACAGTGTTGTTTGTTTGTGAATCGTGATTTTTTATTTACACTGACATTGAATGTAAACTGTTGTTCTTACTGTATAATTTCAGTTAAATATCAACTTCGATTGAAAATTGCAGATGAAATTCATATTTCACTGAAATGTGATAAGTTTTAAAAATTGTCAACAAATAGATATCATTTTTAAGTTTTTATGTATCAACGACCATGAAATCAGAATCTGAATTATAGCTGATCACATAAGCAACCAAAATGTGGTTGTCCATCAAAGACCATGATATGTGGTCGTTCAATGTCAGTGATCGATGGCAATTAGATATTGACACTATTGCACACATATTCAGTTCTGCAGATCAAATACTTTGCATATGACTGAAAGTACTAGATTTCGTTTATATTTACACGGTCAATAGTGCATTCTATCAAATAGACCTTTAATAGAATAAAAACACAGTCCAGTGTTTGAAGGTTTTCAGTAGTGGTCGAACGTTGATCAATTCATAATTTCAGTGAAACTCTACATTCTTGCAGTCATATACTGATGACTGAAGTATAAACTACATTAGATCAAATTCCTCGAAAGAATTATACACAGGCATAACAGGCATAAAATCTCAAAAGTTAATGTTTTTATATATTGAATAATTTAGTTTCCGACCACCACTATATTGTAAATTACAATACACATTTACTCTACTTTTACTTAATTGAATTTGTTTAGGTGAAAATTTGATGCAGAAAAAATATTCTATTCAGTCAAGTATCGAGTCTGTATTAGGTAAGCTCTAGCTTACAAGATAATGTAATCAGTCAATCAAACGATAATAACAACGTGATAATACTGTTTAATACCAAAATGACCCATCATCAAGCGATGGTAGAGGACTTTTCGAGTGCTAAATGTGAGCTGCAGAGCAACTGTTTCTGTCGCGAACAGATGGAAATGCTCACTGGAAGCAGGATCCACGATGGTTTTCTACTGAATTCAAATATCTAAACCAAAATTCATGATTACTTTCACATTAAACTTGATATCATTTGCAAATACATTCTATCCTTAATGATAAAACGTTAAATTTGTAGACAAAATGGAGAAACAAATTGAATATTTCAAACAGAGTGATGTTCAGTTTCTGTATACAGAAGGTAAGCTATTTTAAATAACGTCATTTAAATCTATATAATTCTTAGCTAATGTAGATATGTAAACATTTGGACAAATCAGCATATAAGTGTGTTTGTCTGACGACTTCCTGAAATATATGAAAATTTTTACTTTTTAGAAAAAATTAACTTGATACTCTTAAAGCATGGTCAAAAGATCTACGAATGTAAGTAACGAACTATCATTGATTGATCCGACAATTTTAGATGTGAGATGCAGGAGTCAATTTTACCAATCTATTGAGCAACAAAATCTCATGAAAGGTTTGTCTATATTTTTCGACGTTGAATAACGTCTGAATTATTCATATTTTATTTTGATTATTAATTCAGCGTTGAAAATCTAAACCTTTTTCATAAAAATACATGAAAGTAGTTCATTCATACAATCAGCAATTCTGTACGTGTATATTGAAGAGATGTTCAGTGATATAATGTTTTCACTGTTCATAAAGACATTCTTTTGTTCACGGTTTCAATCAATTATATAAGTTGGCTTGAAAAAGAACATGCACACTTACATATCCCGAAGGTTATGAACAGAGTTTATAACATTTTGATAACTCGATACTCATAGATGAAGACACTATCAGATTGCACAAACGTTTTATTCAGGTTAGCACATCAGATAAAAACCAGAATGATGGGTATGCATGAAGTGATCCTTTGAGGTGTAAATAAATCACTTTCACTGAAAAAATAATATCAATATGAAACAGGACGACGTTGAATTGCATTTTTCCGTCGAGCCTCAAACTCCACAGTTTCCTATACAGTCCACAGAGTGTAAACAGATGCCATGTACTGAGGTGTAGGAATGAAGGAATAAGCAACTAATGGAATGATGCAATAAAATTGTGCAACATAACTCTCACTGTTTGAGATAGTAAATGGCATTTATCTGTTCTACAATGCTCAGACTTAATCAAAGAAATAGCAATTCAAGAAAAACTGTTTGGTAAGTTCAAGTTTTTACCAGTATATTTTTGTTTTCAAACATGTGGCGAACCGTTGTGAAGATAATAGCTTTGGTAGCTTTCAAAGGTTACTTATCACAATTCGTACAACGAGGTAGTGATCAGTGCACATTATAAAGCAACTGACATAGATATTTACCTGTTTTTAAATATTTTCAAAAGATGTTTATTAAAATATAGAGTGAGCTACCTCCTTGAAGTCCTCTGCTACGAGTAAACAAAAATTCATTTTTCAATTACTGATTGTAGAGACAACTTTTGAAGTTTCTAAAGAGATGATGAAGAAATTCACTGAACAGGAATCGCTAAATGCAAGTGAGTGTAATCTCTTACTCAAAAGTATTTGTACTTGCATTTTCTATCAATTAGTTTTTGATCTTGTGTTGTTCAAATTGACGGAGATCTGGATGCTTCTATTGTAATACACCAAACATTGAAACAGTGTTGGTCAATATGGTGTAACATGTATTCAAATGACAATTCCGGTGTCAACAAAGTATATGAAGATAAATTATGTAGCTGATGTGAGTTTAAAAAAAGCTCTGATAACGCCAATCACAGGTTTTAACTGACTTGGTTATCTGATCGCTTCTTCATAATATATATGCATTCAGATTGTTATCAATGTTCAGACTACGTGTTCATTGCGTAAACAGATAGAAATAAATAAACTTGATATTTATACATATTGATTTGCAATCAAATAACACTGTAATTTTGTTTTTCTCTGACTCATACAGAATTAGTGGACATATACACAAACAAAACATGTCCATTACCTGTGCCATATTATAAACAGGGTAAAATCATTGAATTATTTGTGTGATGTTTATATTTATGCATAAAATAGAAAGAATAGTTTAGATTTCGTAAATCTGTTGATATTTGTTGTACGAGTACCTTGATTTCAACAATACAGCATTGAATCAGTAGATTTGAAAATGTGAAAATGCTGCTTATTTAAAACATGCAATCACAGCTAATACAAAACTAGCAAGCAGATATAATAATAATAGTTAAAACATGGATAAATATTTTATCTCAAACTATTTTGAATATGGTAAAGAAAGATTTTGATCAAATAAATTGTATCCATTTAGATATCGAACTTCTTGATCAATCGATGTCAAAACGATATTATTACTTGAATAAAGTTGACTTCTTCATAAGTAAGTAAACCATATTTTCATTTTTGTACGTAAATCAATAGAGCATATAATTATTTTGAATGTAAACTATGACAGTGTTTGATACTAATATATAATATGTTTTCATATGTTTTCATCAAAATATGTGCGTAAAATAATGTTTTGATAAATTCATCTTCGAATTGGCAAACCTAAAATTCCCCTTAAATTTATAATTGCGAAATTGCTATTTGAATGAAAACTATCGATTGTCACGCATATGTCTATCAATATCATAGTTCAACATCAATGCCTATTAGCATATTGGCGGTTGAATTCAACAGGTAGTTACGAAAATCATATTCAGAAAAAAATAAAGTCAGCTATTAAAATGAACGCTGTACAGCCAGCAGCTTAATAGTCTACCGTAAAATATTGGAACATAAATTCATATTAGGTAAGTAAACAATTTTAATTACACTATAAAAGTTTCTACTTTAACGATGACTACTTTTATTCGTTTATTGAACTTTCAGACAGTGAAGAAATCTTACTAGAAATTCTCAAAGAAGTTGAGAAAAAATTATTGATTTGTGAGTAGACGGAATTAGAAACTTGTTTACAACACTTAAACATTTTTTTCTGAAACTGACTTCTCTGAAATTCAGGATGAATGAATAAATGAAAATTATGAATGTTATTCACGATAAAATTTGGACGAGCAACTATAAGGGTTTTAAGGTTCTGTTCGAAAAATAGATAAAAGGAAAACTATTAACCTTGACAGAGAGAGACTATGATCTTTATAAGGTGAGCAATTACACCTGAGCTTATTTTATGATTCAGTACATATTGGAATAGGTCGATAAGTAGTTGTTCATTCATCACCAAAATATTTCGTCCCACTTCTTTTAAAAGTTAGCAATCAAGCTAAATATTATCATTTTCATTTTGTAGGTGCTGATTTATAAAAGTTAAAATCGTATTCAAAAATGTTGATCAGAATAAAGTACTTCGTTGATGATGATGATGATGATGTTTTGTTTTCATTGTCTTGATATTTTTTCGCAGTACTGCTAGTAATAATTTTCCCAAAGAAATTAGCATGAGCATTCAATAGAAATCACGATCACATGACCTGTAAACTGGCTAGCCTTTTTGAATTTTATAATCTTTTAACTCATGGAATGATAAATTGAACGTTATTTTGTAGTCTGTTTTATATTCAGGAATAAATACTAGTCTTTTAAACGTAGCACTAATTTCCGAAAAAAAATTGCAAATGATTATTATCAATACAATAGCTGGTGTTGTCGCTTAAGCATATGATACAGTAGTATTTAGCTGATTAAGTTTTTTTGCTGACTGACTGAATGCTCTAACATATATTTTGTTAACTTAAAGAATAAAGTAACAAAAACAGCCGAAGTGAATAGTTTTCAATTTGTCTCTTCAATTGATCAACCTAAACTTGCATCAGGTAGTTGAATCCATCTCAAACAAACATACATGTATGTTGAACGTTTGACACCGTTTCGTTAAAAGTACGATAATGGAAAATTGAACGTCACTTTCGTTTCACTAGTGAAATCTGATGTGGTCACAAATGCAATTACTTTTAACAATAATATTAGGGAAGAGCATAAAATCTATAAAGTACTTGTCAACATTCATCAGTGAACAACGAAGAACTTTAAAAAAAAATAAATTTTTCGAAGGACAGATTTTAGCTTGACATGCGAATACAAGGCTGATGCTACTGAGTTCTTGTGCATTCTAAATTAAATAAGAGTATATGAACTATAGTTCATTGGGTATTTTAATGTGTGCGATTTATATAGCCATGAATTTTTGAAATGTGAAATAATAATTGTTGACCATAATCCGTGAATATAGAGAAAACTCTAGATATGCGTTAAGTGTTTTTTAAGTGCTTTAGTATGCGCCGCGTTCATAATGATTCCAATTTGCTACTGGTTGAAGCCTGAAAGCTCACTATCGAGCCTTTATGAGGTGGTTTTCATGTGTACGACTGTGCGAAATTATGATAGAAAACAACCGTTATTTATGTATTCTTTGTTCTTAAAATTATTACAGGAAAAATAGATAAATTTTATCGCCTTAACCTCCGCCCCCTTATTAATGATCCTATTCACAGAAATGCTCTGACATAATCCGTTCATTAAGAGAAGATGATAAGTGTACTTAAGAATTGTTTAAATGAAAAAACAGAAAAAATTGAAAAAACGTTTTACAGATTCTCGAAACGTTAGGTTAAACAATGGTTACTATGAATAATATGGTTTTCTACCAAATGTAATTTATTTCACTTCATGCTATCGGACAGAATCAAGTGAAATGAGTCATCTAGGCATACGTTTATGAATTGACAAGATCTAGTGTCTGTTATATTACAACTCAAAGAAGACGAAAGTTTTCTCCAACTTGATGCTCATCAACTCACCATACTTACACTGGGTTTTGGATATTTACTTCGGAACGTACACGTTAATCATAAACAAGGTTATTCACTATGTTTAGTCGTTATTTCTTCTTTAGAGCATGTTTCAATGAACACTTACTTCATTACTACAATATACTGAGTTGATGCATACGTGATAGCGAAGTCTCCGCTTCAAAATTGATACTTTCAGCTTTTTAGTAGTCTTTGAAGTAACGTGTTTAAAATGCAAGTCGTACCATTCATCTTATTTGCATTCAAATGCGTATCGCACTGAAACAAACTTCCAGTGTTTCGAACTTCCCGATGATGAGTTATCAATGATTGATTGAAGATCGCGATCTGACTCAACAAACCGCAAACCACCATAATGAAAGCCATGAATGTAGAAAGAATATTCTCTACTGCTCACTGGAGTTACCTGCACATAAAAATAAAACGAAAACCTAGTTTCATTAGGTTAAAGAAAATCCTTGTTACAGAAAATAAGAATACTGTATCTTATAATTTTGGTTCACTTCTTGTGGGACTTATCGATGATTAGATAAAAAAATATGTTTGATGCGATATCAGTAGATAAAAATTGGCATCAATGACAATCGTTTTGTTTCTTGAATTCTGTACACCAGTAAACATATACAAGTTTTTTAAGGCGAGAGTGGTTTTGGTTATGTTTCCGTGTATATTGTTCGGTTATTTTTTGAAACCACGAAAGGATTAATCTTTGAACACCATTAAAAAAGTAAAGGCGCCGGATTGCCGCTTTTTCTGTTGAGGTACTCATCAACATTGCTCTTCCACAAATCCTAAACCCTCCTTTCAGTTCGTTTTACGAAATACACTTCTCTACATCATGGTTTGTGGTAAGTGACAGGACTTCTGTTTCCCACCACTCGTCGACACCGTATTCAGAATGTAAGGTTCAGCATTTTTGTTTAACTTTGATATTGAAGAAAACGAGGGATAATGTTGTTCTGTATTTATTATTGACGTCATTGTAAGCCTGCGCAGGTTGAACATGTGCAGTCAAAATGGAAATCCAAAGGTTGAAACAGCATTTGCAAAGTAGTGCAGGTGTGATGCTGATGAGGCTCACTTAGAGATGAAATGACTGCTCGTTTTTATCAGATTTGAACTGATGTTCTAACACTGATTAGTTTATGAAGTAAAATCCAAAACAGAAGATTACCTATTATCAACGCCGAGATAAAACATCAATGATGTATGATAAGTATACAGCATTTGTTTATACAGTATCAGTACCCCTCACATGGTACTGAAGAAACTACCATCCGTTCGCCTAGAGGACCATCTTGGTTACGTAGTGATCTGTGAAATAAGATTACCTCAGTGGCACTGATTACACAGTCAATCCTGAGATCTGTATTTTCACCGGAAGCTTAAGAGAGACTTCATCTCTGTTTCAGAAAGGGCAGCTTTAAACGGTTAAGAACTAAACCTGTAAAAATTGCTCGTTACGTGCAATCTGCCAGATACGTCAAAAACCATTTATTAAATCATTGTATGTCCGCTGGCTTATGTATCTTCAGGGCACGATCTCGTTTTGTTAACCAGTAAAAGCCTTCAAAACATTTCGAAATATATAAAGTACGCAGCAAGTTCGAATGCGACACTTCACTTCAGGTAAAGAGAACTGCGTGCTTCCATATCAGAACTATTGCTGACATCTTTGAAAATATATGCACGCCCACACCTTGAAGTTCATAACGTCTCGTCATCCCATCTTCACAAAACAGACATAAATGTCGTGAATCGTGAAAAAGATGTGAAAAAGAAAGCCTACAAAGGTAGACTCCAGAGACTGATAATTCTGTCATACTAGTTACATGTGAATCAGGAAAAGACCTGATTTTAGCGAACAGTATATAATGCTATCCAAGCCATCTCAACATGATCACCTTACTGATGCACCAACATTGCTTTCCTCGAGCTATACCGTGAATAAAATGAATATCAATTGAGGAATATTTAGGTTTATGACCACTTTTTCCCATTTTGAGCCGTTTCATTTTGAAATGCTCTTCAGGGAGAGATGACACAATCTCGCTCAACTAGTAGCTTAAGTAAAAGACTTGAGAAACACCTCAATAAACCACCATCTCCCCAGTTCACTTACCTAACATTTCTCTATAGCGAATCGAATAATAATAAAGTTCTCCGCGGGACAGCAAACGGTATTCCTGTTACTCTAATAATCAAATAAAAAACAATCTTAGTGGAAGAAGTATAATTAATGCTAGCCTCATGATATCGAAATATTATCGAGGCAAGAGGGCGTAAAATCGGCTAACGTCCACGCAGGAGACGCGCTTGGCGCGCGGGAAATATTCTTTTGTACAGATAAACAAAAGTTGTACAACATCACAATTATTGTCAGAAATAAATACGATAATAAATGATTTTATTTCAGCGATTGTGTTTTCTTCGTAAAAGTATACCTCTTCATCTCCACAAATCAGTTAACTGATATCCAACTTGGTGAGCTGATAGCTGCTTACATATAAAAAGATG